TTATGAATTACTTCGCCCCTACGATACGACTTTTGTTTATGGGGAGGTGGCTCATCTAGCTCTATCACACGTTTAATACGGTCAGTTTTCCCAGTTGATTCACCTTGAGATGAAGTTACTGACGGCTTCTGGAGGTTCCCGGGTTGTTTGTACAATTCATACTTTTAGTGGCCTACTTCGCGACAGACATACCAAACCGTCTTACGTTCGTTTTGACGAAATTTTGACGTGTAACCTACTTCACGGCAACTAGTGCTAAAATACGTTGACCATTCAAATGTTTTGCCGGTCTTCTTTAGTGGATTGCTGGACTTGTCCTTATATGACTGAAGATTTTTGCCCTGTCTTCGTCTAACCAAGGGTTTTGACTGTTTTCTAGGGTCACATGGAGCTTTAGTCTGCGCAACTAATAATTCTGCGGTTTAACGGCTATTTTCGTTGCCAAGATTGGTGACATCGCTTTCTAAGTCTTCCTTGCTGTCATCAGATAACTCTGCGAGTTAATTTAACGTGGGAACTTTTCTTGAGCTAGGTCGCGACTTCTCTTTAACATTACATGCGGTGAAAATGCAACTAAGTAGATTGACATAATGGAGAAATTCCGTATAATCTCTGATATGGAGATCTAATATTTCGAAGGCTAAGTGGGGATTGAATTTAGTTACAATTTGCATAAGTTGACTCTCAAACTCAGGTGCCCTCTTCAGACATTATCATTTAATTAATTAATTGACTTTTGGTGGCATTGTAAAAACCGCGTGCAGTGATTTTTTGGCCTTCTCTTTGGTTTTCCGAAAATCCGTCCTCCTCTCATCCATCTTCCTAAAATTTCCACCGATCCAGGCATCTCATAAAACAGACACAGTTCTCGCTATCGCTACTGTCATAACTTCGCCCTCAACAAATACTTTTCATAGCATTTTGTCGAAAGTACCTCTCATAATCATCGTCACTGGAGTCACTAGTTCCCCAAGACAAACTGCCTCTCCGAGGTGACGACGCGGTACGATCTCGACTCTCAGAAAATCTCGAAGGAGAATTAAACCTTTTTTTGCCTACGGCCCACGCTACGCGCCTGGACACTAGGTATTCCTTGGCTACTTTGTTGATTTTCCCGTTCTGGTTTTAAATTCGTCTTGGGTGACCTGATTTCCCTATATTCTTTTTCAGTGACTAAAATTTCCCGCTGTTCGACTTGTCGATTTGGCAATGGGTTTCTTGAATCGACTCTGTATAACAGAGGAAGCTCCGCCACATCATCGGGATGCGGGTTTGACGCTAGATTTTCTCGATTGTAGGCTTCGTTATTTTGAAAATTGGCGTTCTTATTTTTTGTCCTAGATTTTGTTTGGGTTAACGAACGAGTTTCATTACTTCATCTTCGGTGTTTACCCACTATTCCTCTAGAATTGTCTGACGAAAGATCAGGTACGGAGGAAGCACCGCTTTCGGTTCCTTCTCTTTCGTGCCCTAATGTATCCTGTGGCTCATTTAGACGTACTAATATTCTCTGCGTTACCGTCTGTAAGCTTGATAAGTGTTCCAAAATGTGGTGATACGTCTTGGCTACCAGAGACCGATCCGTTTGATTGTTGCTAAGAGGGTCCAAAAAGGAAGGCCTTCCTCTTCCTTGGCCTCTACCTGCACTGAAGAGGTACTGAGTAGCTACGGGTTCTCTGGTTATCTCTTCCCTTTCGGAAATGAAATTTTCCTCGTCGAAACCTATTTCATCCATTCCCTCGCTCGAATTCATCCTCCCGCCTCCCGCCTTATTCTTCCGCTCTCAGGATAGTTTTTTGAGTGACAGCGAGCAGAATTTCTGAGGCTTGATAACCAGTTTAATTTCGTTTTGAAATTAAATTTTGGGGACTGAAATATTCGCCCAAAAATCTCACTGTTATTGCTACTCGTTAATCCTCTCAAATCCGTTGACAACAGTCATTCGCTCCAGAGTTAACCTCCGATTGTTCTATTACGATGACACAATTAATTAATCCGCTAAGTGTTGAGCCTCGGCCATTCACTGACTGCAGAATAACATTTAAATATTTTAGTTACGAGACAACAACGAAATGAGATTCAATTCTCTGCCGAGACTCTACAACTACTTTTTCAAATTTTGGGTCAACGACGAAGCGAGATTCAATCGTGGTATGCCCTCAATCATCATAACTATGGTTGTTCAAATCCGTTTCGACAATTATTCCACAGTTTGCCCCACACAAAACGTAGTCACAAGATTGGTCCTTACAATTACGGAATGGGTCCGACACTTGCCAAAACATACGCTTAATATTTATTTCCGTTAATTATCTCCAACCGGACCTACGATATGATCCCGTTTGACTTTCTTCATTTTATCGTCCGGATAATCTATGTCCGAAGCGATATTAATAATTTTATTGAGAATTTTTTATGGTTGTCTGTTTTTTCATTATGGGGAACGAGATCTCATCTTAGTGACAATAATAATTATACCTTTAGTTTTGGAAGCTTATTCTCTCTGTTAATTATGATTGAAACGTGCAGTTACAAAGTATTATAATCCATAAATGGGAGTGAAAAAAAAACGAGACCTTGACTCCACAGCAGTACAATAGACAGGCTGAATTCGGAAAAGTGTTTGTTTATTTTACGATGCTTGACCCAGCGTTCGTATTCGCTGCGTAATAACCGCTTGGTAACCAAATAAAACTTGAAATATTCTTCCGGATACTCTTATTTTACTTTACTGTAAATCCAATTCCAATTTACAATCGATATTTTATTCAAATCTTACCCAAAGTTGCTTCACGTGGGGTGCCAATTGAGACAGCATCCTTTTTGGATAAGAAGATTTTACAATATTTTTTTAAATCCCACCCAGCGCGGCTTGTGTCAAGCACTTCCGGGGATCAAGAAAACACAGGTTTTGTCAATTATTTATTGTCTGGCGCCAGCCAATTATGATGAGGTTGATTACTCAATATTTTGAATAATTTTTTTCAGATATATAGATTTATAGACCAAGAAGAGAGAATATGGAGAACCACGGGCTACTTACTTGTACTGCTTCGGGAACCACTCTCCTAAACTCGGTTAACAAATTACATACAACACAAGGGTTCGAATGACCAAGAAATATATTTTAACGTAATGAGTAATTGGCAATTGCCGTACGATGTAAATTTGGATGACAGAGAACTTATAATATGATCGCCCGACACGAGAGTGATGTTGTGAGCAACCCTGATGTTGCGCAATTTGTCAACCGTTGACAAATTTTCAATGCAGGTAAATGCACATTCACACAATAAACGCAAATTTTTCTAACCAAAGTTTTCTCACCAATTCTCGTACATGCAAAACGAAGTACCCAGTCAATTGCAGGCTGATTGTTTTTAAACCTTTTCACGGGAGGCTCCATGACACAAATGTGTAAACAATTGACACTATGATAAAATCACTATGCACTATCAATAACTACTTCAAGCAAAAAATCTGAACTGTCACTTGGTTACTAAACACACGTCTGCATTCAATGCTCCAAAAGAACAGATTGAAGTTCGGAAATGGAATACATTTGGAAAATTTGACTACGCCCCCTCTCGCCAGCAATTTTATCGTCAAATCCGACCAATCGGCCAAGTGCAATACAATTGATGACTACGGTTTCGGTAGACAGTCTCGAACAGTAATATTCCCCCAAAATATTGTTTTAGATTTTGTTAAATTTGCTATTTAGTTAAAAAAATATATATATAATTTATAATATATAGAACTTGTTGCTGATTAATTGAAAATCTGATTCTCAGTATTGTTTCAAGGAGAAAGTATAGAACAAAATTTAGAAGATATCAATGATTGATATGGTGAAGATTAATTACAATATATAATTTTGATTTTTCAACTTTTGCCAGAGTGTATTCGTCAATTTTGAAGCCATTAAATTGCACTATGGCACACCCAACAGCCTGAAAAATTCTACAAGATGAAATATGAGGCATTTCGTAATTTTAAATTTCGCCAGTGTTATAGGAGAAAACGTTTTGTTTCTAGTTCTTCTTTGAACCGACAGACCCTGCATTCAATAGCTTCTGTTTCAATTCTGCTGCGTTATTGACCTAAATCTAAATAACTAATACTCATTGAAGAAAACATGAAAGTGCTCTTAAAATTCAGCTTTCCGACTTATTGACATCTTTTACGTTGCGTTTTAAATTTTTGGTCCAATAACGAACTTACAGAAAAATATTTGAAAGAATTACCGGCTGATCTTGATTCTGATTATAAAAAATGAATATTTTTAGAAAATCATATTTCTAACAAATTTTCTTCAATGAACATTGTTATTTCAATCAAATTCATTTCTTGAATAAATAATCGCGGGACACTGGAACATGACATTGTTGTATTTGTTCCTTTCCTCTGGAATTGAACAGCCGGTTTCTACATTTTATTTGTAACATCTGCTTTCAAAATAAATAAAAAAGTCACAATGAAGAAAGTTTTTCCTTTTCCATTTTTGTCTCATTTCCCCGCTTTTTCTTTTTTTCAGCGATATTTCTCCTCTTCTCCTTTCCTTAAGTGTTACCCCACTTCGGTTAATTTCAGACAAGGAGAAGGGCTTTTACGACCTGGGTCATAAAGGCCCATCACCTGACATAATCGGCTCTCGTCTACCCTTTTTTTTATACACTAATAGAGGTCGGGAGCACGACTTGCTCTCAGAGCAGAGGTTGCCATCCCTGTTCTATATACTCCATGTCAGGGTTGCCGGAAACATTTAAGTACTCAAATGGTACTTAGATTAGATGAGATTCAAGTACGCGGGTGATCGGGCTAGCCTCCCCACTGCCACCGAAGTCAGATTAGAGTTATTGTAGCTCCGCTGGTTTTATGAACCAATTATATGTCCAGCCCCGCCTGCGTTGCCAGTCTTAACAGATCCGTTGCATCCTTGTTCGCGACTTGATTTGCGGCGAGGAAGGGAGTTCCCCACCAGCGCAGTCGCGTCGCTACTAGAGCCGGACAGTCACATAGGATGTGTAGACTGTCCTCTTTTGCTTCATTACAGAATCTGCACCACCCATCCGAGTCTTTAAATCTGCCATGTGCTGTGAGCAGCTGATCGTAGTGGTCATTTCGCTTTTCCTGTTCATAGCCAGTAGGTGTTTCGACATTTTCTGACTAGGGCCAGACATGATTGCCCTTGTCCCCCTGCAGATCTTTGTATCTTTCCACTGCTCCGATTGTTCCAGCCGGAGCTTTTCCTTTATGTGGCTTACACCCACGTCATGGGGGAGTCCCACTGGCGTAGCCTCGTCCGCATTTATTGCCCCTTGCTTCGCCAACCCGTCTCCCATTTCGTTGCCTTGGATGTCCTCGTGACCTGGGACCCAGGCAAGGGTTACCTTGTTGCTCGTCCCTAGTTTTTCCGGGCTCTCCATGGTTTCCCAGACCAACTTAGAGTCAGCACTGGATTTGAGGAGAGCTTTTATAGCGGCTTGACTGCCTGACCATACGAATAAATGTTTTTTGGTTGTCATGCGGGACAACAGAAGCTCTGAGCACTTTTTGATCGCCAGAACTTCGGCTTGGAATACTGTAGTCGCTGTTCCCAAAGATCTACTGCGTTTGTAGTTTTCTCCTGGCCCATACAGTCCTGCTCCAAAGCAGTCTTTGTATCCTGAGCCGTTTGTGGACCAGTTCATAACATTGGTGCCTGGTGTTTCCCATACAGTTTTCCAGTTCTCCCTCCCAGGAATGTGGGTCCTAAAGGCCTTCCTAATTGGTCATTTTATCTTCACTCAAGTTTCCGGGATTTTCCTCAAGGATTTCTAGTTTGGCATGTACCGCTCCCGCTTGAATCCGTTCCCTCTGGTACAAAAGTGTATGGTGTTGATTCTGCCTTACTCACCACAAAAAGATCGAGTGGAGGCAGGTCGAGGGCGATTTTAAGGGCGTCCGTGGGCGTACTTTTCATGAGCGCAGTGGCTGCACTCATGAATTTTCCTTCTAGGCATGTGAGCCAGTTCCCCATCTCCACCCTGTTCGCCCTGGACCTCCAAACTACATCTGCGTACATCAACTGCGGCAGCAGAATCATCTTGTACAGCCAAACACTGATCTTCGTGCTAAAGCCCCAGCCTCTACCCATGGTCTTTCAACATACCTACAGTGAGGCATAAGTTTTGCCCATCTGCATCTCAATGTCCTCCCTCCAGTGGAGCTTGGCATCCAGCTGGACACCCAGGTACCTCTGTGAGGTAGCATAGGCAATCTCTGCACCCACTAACCTCACCGGCTCCTGGTTTATCACAATCTGTATTACCTGATGAAGATCATAGCTGACGTTTTCTCAGGGTTAACTGAGAGTTTCGTCCTCCTACACCAGTCCACCATTATTCTTAGAGAGTGGTTCAGTCTATCTCTCAGGACACTGAGGAATTTACCCCTAGCGATAATGGCCACGTCATCGGCGTATCCATACACCAGAACGCCTTGTCCCCTCAGTTCTTCTAGGAGTTCACCCACTACGGGGCACCAAGCAGAGGAGATGGTACTCCACCCTACGGGCACCCACCCATCGGACGGCCTTCTATGTGTATACCATTATGGTCAGCAGTTAACCACCTGCTCAGCAACATGCTTTGTACCCAGTGAATAATGGTTTCTAGAAAGCTTCTTCTTGACAGGGTTGTTTTTATGACCTCGTATCCTCTATGGTCAAAGGCTCCCTCGATGTCGAGGAAAATGCCCATTGCGCAGATCTTTGCCCCAATATCTGCGCCCCAATATCTTCCTCAACCTTTGCCACGAGGCGGTGCAGGCAGGTCTCCGGGGACCTTCCCTCCCTGTAGGCATCTTGAGCAAGAGATAGAGGTCTGGCTGTTAGCAGTATGCTTTTTATATATTTATCCATGTGCCTACCCAGCGTGTTTAGAACAAAAGGTTAGGCTGATGGGTCGAAAGTTTCTTGGCTTGATGTAGCCGTTTCGGCCAGACTTGGGTAGTAACACGATTTTTGATTCTTCTCAAACCCGTGGTACAAGTACGAGTGCTACGCTGACTCTCAGAATTTTGGTGAGGGGCCCCAGGATGATGTCCATTCCTCTTTGTAGTACACTGGGTAAATACCATCCAGTCCTGGTGCTTTGAGAAGTTCAAAGGACTCAACCGCGCATTCGATTTCTTGTGTGTATACGATTTTGGCTGCTAGAACCCAATCATGTGGTTTGTAAAGGCTTCCAGTTTCCCTTCTGGCCTGTTTCACGCTTTCCGTGCTTGTGAAGCCGGGAAACTATTCTTCTAGAAGAAGTCGCATTGATTCTTCCGAGGACCAGGTATAGCGGCCGTCCGGCTTCATTACGTCACCCTGACCCCTAGTACCTTAACAAGCCGAAAGGCCTCGGACAGGTTCTCGATTCCGCTACTAAACCTATTTGAGCCTTTTCTTCAGGCTTTCACCAGAGCTCTGTTGTATTGCTTCTGAAGTGATTTTCGTTCCTCCATGGCCTTCCTCTTGCGTAGGTTACCGCAATAGTTTTTCACTTTGTTGCACGCTCTTCGTACCTGGCCCCTGAAGTTTGCTAGGTCTGCGTTCTACCAACTCACCTGTTAGGTTCCTTTGATGGGGCGCATGGAACAGTTGTTTTCAAAAGAGCTTCTGATCGATTCTCCGAAAGATTCTGCCACATATTCCAGGTGCTTCATCTTCTCGAACCTGCTGGGTACGTCTTGAATTCTTCGTGACAGCTCCTCTCTGCATCCCTTCCAGTCTGCTTTTGTCGGATTTCTCTTCCGAATGGAATCCACTCTGCCACTCAGCTTAAAGCGTATGTGACCATGAACCGAGCTCGAAAGTTTTTTGGAGACCCTGCATTCGCTCATCAAATCTGCCATGTCTGCTGTACATATGGTGATATCCAGCACCTCCTGTCTTCTATAGCAGGCATGGGCAAAGTGGACCCTCGGGAGCCGGGGCCATAGAACCCTATTAGACCCATTATTAGGAATACAATACCCCAATTGCGTGGAGCCCAGCGTAGTCAGGGTGGGAGTAGCAACGTGTACGAAGTGGGGCGCAGTTAGACAGAGAGAGCACCGCGCGCTTTCCTTTCAAATCTAAAAAACCTTACCGCCTAAAAATTCAACCAAATTTTCACCAATTCAAGGTGGTAAATCCTCAAATGTATCGGGGGTAATGGTTCAAACAACATGCCCGAGTCAAAATTTTGGTTGATTTTTCAACGTATTTCTAGCTGCTCGTACCGTCGCACTTTGATGTTGAAAACCCGTTCATTTGCTACTCGGGATTTCGACGTACCCTCAGCTATCATAACGGCGTCTTCCGATTATCGTATTTACCACTGGCTTTGACTTTATTGCAATGCTTCACATAATTTTTATGTAGTAACGATTGACTACTTTTTATAATTACTAACTCAACGTAACTTTTAAATAACTTCTTTCTTTTATTCTTTAATAAATTTGCCTTTCATTCAACTCTAATTATTTATCAGGGAGGGGGATATCGTAGAGGGTGCGATGGGCCCCGTGCCCAGCAAAAGGAGAATTGACGTTGAAAGCCCGTTGAGTGTTCGTTGAGTTCCGATGGATTTTCAACGTAAAATGAGGAATATTTGGAAATAAAATCCAATATTTACGTCGAAAGTCAGTCGATTCTCAACGGCATGTAAACGACGCAAACGGACTAATTGAAGTTGGAATTAAGTCGACAAACCAACGAAAATTTTGACTCGGGTGGTGCCAGAAATTAATTATTTCTTGGTTACCTTAATGTTGAATAATTATTTTAGTAAAAATTGGAAAAAAATTAGATGTCAGTTCTTTAAAATTCCATCACGAAATTATGTATGTAAGTTTTATAAGTTGGTCGTTTCTGACCAATCACTGGGGTTAAAGCAAAGGAATTTATCCCCCCCCCCCACCCTCACTCCCGCCCGCTTCCAACAGGCTACCTATCCTCTTCATAAAATCACCCTTCAACAGGTACGTCTTCGGGGTAAATTATAAAGTCATCGGCGCCGACACAGAGTCTGTCCTATCCATTTTTTTCGTAAAATTGGGGACTACCCCGAACCATAAGGGCCAGCATTTCCACTTATGAACTTGGCATCTCATAATTTGATATTAATTAAAAATTGTCGACAGCTTACTATACTTTTCAAAGGTTTCCGTTGAAATTCACGGCAACTTTAGGCACCGATGTTTACTGATCCATGATTTGAAATGCCTTAGTCCAAGGCTCTTGGAAAAAAACCATTTCAATCTGTCCAAAACAATATTTAAGATATTGAAGAGAAATTCCTCAGGAATTTGCTTTCAGTCAAACTTTTTCGAGTCGATAGCACAAAAACAATTCAACGAACACTATTATCAGGCTCGCCCGATAATTCTATTGGAACTTGATTAGCTTTCTATAAAACCTATATAAGTTTGTGATTGTATTCTTTTAGAAGTTGATTTTACCATGATGATTTACAAAAATGATTTTACCATGAAAATTTTGCAAGGAAATTTCTCTCAAATAATTTGTATGAACGGATTCTTTTAACTCCATTTTTTGTATGAATCTATTTATTCTTTCAATATTCATATTGAATCAAATCCCAAATAATTGTCTGGCTGACACTCACTCCGCAATTGTTAGCCAGACCACATATTTTTTATTCAGTGAACATTTTTCAATTATTTTCGCTTGATCACTCTCTACAGCTAATAATTTTTATGTTTTTCTCCAGTAATTATGTTGCGGACACCGCTGTTTACTACGGTTAAAATTTCTATTTAATAAATATAAAAACCTGGTACAACACTAGGTTATAAATAATACAAAGGGACTTGGAAAAACCCTGCACAATGGTGAGGAGTGTTGGAAAACCCAGTCAAAACATCGATTATGTGAGGTTAACGCGATGAAAGGAGACCCCCTGGGGGGGGGGGGGGGGACACTCAAGCAGTCATCATCATGCGGACCTCCGAAGGGTAAAGGAATGACCATCAAAGGACAACACCTGGAAATCACAAAACACTTAGAGGAGGCCATACAAATTGCTCAAAGGCATAACTAAAGAGATCCTTTTGACTTCTTTTCTTCTCTCAATTGAACATGGGGGCACCAATATAAACAACCCTCCAATGGTAATCACAGAGGAGAATAGACTCAAAGAAATAAGATGTCGGCAATTCAGAAATGGACTGCCTCAACCATTGGTTTGTCGATATCGACAAAAGAAAAAGCAGACCAATAAGGGGGTACATCTGGCGGGAATATCTCCCCCCATTGGTTACAGGGGGTTGGCTTGAACCATGACGTCATCCGCACCCCATGCCCAACGAAAGTTATGAGATGGGTTCCAGGAATCGGGACCATCCACCGGATGATTTTTAGTTGTCCAAACAAGGGACATCTTCATCTTCAAAAGGTCCACCCCGCCCGAGACACCAGTTTTTTCTGATGAACAATAGTTATCCATTGTCAGGAAGATGACTAGTTTATGAGCTAGGATGTCATCGACACCCTATGCCCAATGAAAGTTATGAGATGGCTTCCAGGAATTGGCGCGATTCACCAGATGATTTGTAGTTGTCCAAACAAGGGGACACCTTCATCCTCAAAGGATCCACGCCGCTTGACACGCCAGTTTTCTAATGAACAATAGTTATCCATCGGCAAAGAAGACGTCTAGTTTATGGGCCGTGAGCGTCAGGAAAATACATAAATATGCCAATTTTGACATTAGAAGAACATTAATTAGAGAGAGGCCAACGATCGATCGTCCCGTCTTTCTCTCAAAACCCTCTCCCATACCTGGGGAAAAAGGGGGTGATACTAGAGAGAGGGTACACCATCCAGGAACATCCCTGTTGAATACATTGTCAAACATATGAAGATACCTCCCTCCATATCTCAAAAAAACGTCGAGTGACTAAGAATCAAAAATCAACGGACGTAGGGGAATCACGCCCGAACAGTATATAAGGGGCGGTTTTTCGCCAGATCAGGGCAGTCTAAATTAAATCTTCGACTCCTAATCATCTTCAAGTGGTGTCCTGCTCTTCAACCAGTCGACTCTCCAAGATCAGTCTTCAAGGGGGAAACTCTGCAGGACCACCCTCTGACGTCACCACTGG